GAATATAATATAATATAATATAATATTGCCAAAACACAGAAATGTGTTCTCCTGCCCACAGCGAGTCTGATTAGGTTTGTAGAGCAGCAGTGAGGGTTGTCAGTGCGCTGCACAGAAGGATTAATTAACTCTGTCACTCTGTGGCTGTTTGGTTCAGTGAGTTCACAATTTAACAGAAAAGCAAAACAAGTTTCTGTTTGGACACAAGACCAGCAATAATCAGTCAGTCGTGTTAGAATGACTGTCTACTTTCTTTCACTACCAAACAAAGCTTACAACTGGTCCTAAATTATGTTGGTCTTCAAATGTCAATGAGAAAAAACACATTTGTGACCTGTGCTGGCAACATGAGTTGCAATTTTATTATATATTGAATTGTTATTTTCACATTTATCATCTCAAAAGCGTCAAAATAAAATATAATTAGTTAAAATTTTGGGATTTATGACCTGACTAGTAAAAAGCTAGTTTTGTTTATGAGAGTGCTACTTTGAAAACCAGCACCCTCCTAAAGTGTTGTCATCAGAAATTCCTGCTGTTTATTAAAAAAGAGGAATCCTCAAGTGTCACCGAGATGCAAACATTTTATGAAATATGTCCCAGCACTATGGCAGATGTCAGGGAAAATCTATCCTTTTTATTCTTGAAGCTTATGAGTGGCTTGCACCGTGCAGTGAACCCTCTGTATTTACTTTCATGGAGTCCTCTCTTTATGATAGATGTGGATATTGATACGTCTACCTCCTGTTGTTCATTGGTTGGCTGTTGTGAAGGGGTTTCTCTTCACCATGGAAATTATTCTGCTATCATCCACCTCTGTTGTCTTCTGTGGGCATCCAGGACTTTTTGCATCGATGAGTTCGTCAGTGCTTTCTTTCATTCTCAGGATTTGATTTTGTTTTTATTTTAATTTTACCTTTTATCTAACCAGGCAATTCCCATTGAGATGGCTGGTAAAAAACTAACTTTGTGTCATTGTCCAAATAGCTATGGACCTAACTATTTTTTTAAAATAAATCTTAATCTCAAAAGTAAATATTTTCATGTTTTTGCACCACAACACGCACTCAATTTGACTTATTTGCTAGCACGAGTCACATTTATAAGAGAAAGTCACTGAGAAAGACTGAACTTTATGTCCATACTCATTATATCCCTGTAACTTTCCTATCAATTTGGTAAATAAGGTTAAAAAATAAAAAATGTGACCATTTTCATTTATTTCTTATCCTGAACGTACAGTGAACACATGTATCTGTGAAGGAACCTGAATGGTCAGACTACATTTTTCAGCTTTATTTCATTCATTATGGATAAATTTTATGAGGGCATTAGTCTCGTCTCAGACAAGCAGCTCCTGAGGTGTATTTCAATTATTCACAGGCCTCTCTCTTTCCTGTGTGTATGAATTGATCCACACTTTGTTTGTCTTCGACTCATTATTTGTGTTTCTGGTTCAGTGGGCCACTTTGGTCCTACTGTATAATTACTTCACTTCAAAAAATACTAACTATTCTCTCTAACGCCTTTATTGTATACATTTTTTAGCCATTGGGTGTGTTATTTGCAAATTTGTTTTAGCACAGCCTTTAGCGCAGAGATCTTAAACCCTGTTCCTCATGACCCACTGTCCTGCATGTTTTAGGCATTTCCTTGCTTCAACACACCTAACTGAAATAAATGCATTATTGACAGGTTTCTGCTAAACTTGATGACATTCTGAGAAGGTACTTTATTTGAGTGAGGTGTGCTCAAGCAGGGAAACAGCTAAAACATGCAGGACAGTGGGTCACAAAGAACAAGGTTGAAGACCTCTGCCTTACAGATAGAGTGAGACGTTCAGAGACCCGAATTAGATCCGTTGCTCCTTCACATTTGACGTTTTTGCACTGCACGTCCTGGCCGGGGTTCAAACCCGGGTTGGATGTTTTTGCATTTGCCCTTATGGCCACCCCGAATTTTGGAACCTCAAGAGCTCTGGTTCTAATTGGGCCAAACTGCTTGGTCCCAGACTCGTCAGCTACTACTGCTAATTGATTTGTTCACTGACTGATGAACCTCTGCAGCAACTATACCATTTTACTACACAACAGTAGCGAGCTACCAACAACAAGCTAACATTAGCTTACTCTTCTCTGTCGTTGTGCCCTCTCATCTTGTGTCATACTGCTGGATGGTGCTGTTCAATATTCCAGGGATGGATGGATGGATGGATGGGATGGATGGATGGATGGATGGATGGATGGATGGATGGATGGATGGATGGATGGATGGATGGATGGATTATTTTTTTAAGGCTTAGTCAGGTTTTCCTAAACAAGAGCCAAGAGAACAATGTATAAATATATTCAAATATGTTACCACTTATTTAAAAACTTTTCTTATACGTTTTAATTTTATTCACTGTAAACTTTACCTTTACTGTATTTTTGTAACTATACACCTGTTTGCTGTTTTTGTTCTCCCTCAGGCCTACTCTGTTTATGATCAGGAGATTGGTTACTGCCAGGGACAGTCCTTCCTGGCTGCAGTGCTGCTACTACACGTGAGTTCACATCACAGCAGGGTTCAGGAAAAAGCTTTGAACCGTGTCCAGAGCGGAGAGGGTTTGTTTTAGTTGTCATTTGACATCTTCTTAGTCATTCATAGCTCTGGGAGGTGAGCTTGTATTGTGTTAGTTTTAAATGCTCAACTCCTTGATTTTATATGACATTCATTCTTGAGAAATAAAAGTATGGAACTTTGTAAATGCAGTCATGTTTTTTTGATATCCCAGAAAACTGAAGAGCAGCTGGATTGTTAAGACTTTCTAACACTGCCATCTAGTGGAGGAATATTATTTCTCTATATTCTGTAAAACTGGCTCCATAAAAAAGAAGGAAAAACTGTTAAAGTTAAATAAGAGTGTGATATTTGAGAGTCGTCCTGTTGTTAAGTTTTAAAATGACAGACTGATAACTGAATGTTTTTGTTTTCTTCAGATGCCAGAGGAGCAAGCTTTTAGTGTCCTGGTGAAGATCATGTTTGATTACGGGCTCAGGGACCTCTTCAAACAGAACTTTGAAGATCTGCATTGCAAATTCTTTCAGCTTGAAAGACTCATGCAGGTTTGTGTGCTACGTTTGCACATATAAGGTGCTGAATCGTACTTTTTATTAGACGTTTACCAGGAATTTGACCAGTGATTGGTCTCTACCTTCTGTATCCTTCCCATCTTTTTTGTCTTTGTTATTTTCCTCATGTTTTGTCATTTCTGTACTACCACATCCATCTATTCTTCTTCAATTTTCTTTTCTCGTCTATCATTTTTTAGGAGTATATACCTGATTTGTACAACCATTTCCTGAATGTGGGTCTGGAGGCTCATATGTATGCCTCCCAGTGGTTCTTGACTCTCTTCACAGCCAAGTTTCCTCTTTACATGGTCTTCCATATAATCGACCTGCTACTGTGTGAGGTTGGTCAATTAACACACATTCTACAGCAGCTGTAATTCACACACATTAGAAAAGACKGGTCTGTTGTCTTGTGTGTTGTACAGTCACATTTACAGAAAACTTTCTTCCRAGCCAAGTACACCCCTAACGTTTTTTGTTTTGTTTTTTATTTCAGGGTATTAGTGTGATCTTTAATGTAGCTTTGGCACTTCTGAAGGTGAGCTTCCTTACAAAATGAACACACACACACTGACACACACATTGACAGCCACATCTATGAGTAGAAACAGAAACAAGCAGCTTTGGAGAAAGTTTATTTTTCAGCTCATGAAAAGTAAGACTCCTTCGATGTCACCAGACCGTTTCTGTGCTGAAAACAGCAAGCATCTTTTTTTAACCATGCTTAGAGTTTCAACTGTAAAAAAAAAGTTTTAAGAGCTATTTATAATTTATTTAGTATGTTGTTGTTATTATTTTTGTTCCAGACATCAAAAGATGATCTCATCCAAACAGACTTTGAGGGTGCACTCAAATTCTTTCGTGTCCCTGTTCCAAAGCGGTACCGCTCCGAGGAAAACGCAAAGAAACTGATGGAGCTGGCCTGCAGCATGAAGGTGAGTTTACAGCAGAAAGAGATTTCCTTCTTTACTCCATTTATCAAAAAGAAAGAATATTTTAAAAATGTTTGATTTATTCCAAAATGCCTTTTTTTACCTACATGTCCTGATCTCTTTAAGACTTTTTGTGTTTAGAATATTAAAAAAATGCACCACCCTGTAATAGATCAGCATTTATTTCTAAATTATCAACTCAAAATGAGACAAGTACGTGAATAAAAACTGTATCGTCCAGCAGTTCTACTCTGAAACCAGGAGGGGTCACTGTTGAGCTTCATCCCANAGAACCTGAGGCGGGACCTCATGCGCAAACTCTGACGTGCGGCTGTGATTTATGAAGGAAAGAAGTGCAGAAACGTGCGCACATACTGTTTTATAAATCTGAATATTTTTTGGCGTACGCCATTTCCGTCTTTTGGCCGTACGTTCACTTTTAGTATGGTTTCCACGCAATCCTTGATAAATGAGACCCCAGGACTGTCCGAGGCCTCAGCTCTAAAACCAAGCAGCAGATTTATTATTAGTGTGGCACAGCTCAGTAAAACAGACCCAACATTAAAAACAAAAGGAAGCAACTATCCTGTTCATTTTGAATTTTAATGAGTGAAATAATCCTTGACAGCTTGCCTGCAGATGGTGCAGCCATAACAATTCCTGCCTTTAGACTGACAAGTACCCCATCATGCACCGGGCTTGAAATCCCATCAGAACACATTGTCCTCCTCATCGTGTCCCTCTCAGCCTGGACACTGATTATAGGAAAAAAAAAAAAAAATCTGAAAGAGAAAAACAAAAAAGCCTGGTTCTGACATGAGGAGCTGACTGAAGACAGAATGAGCCCGATGAACACGTGAGATCCTCATTTTTAAAAGAAAAACAAAAAACCGGTGGTCCAGAGACGAGCTCGAGAGATTAGTGAACAAATTAGTGAACGAGCGAGCATGTTGTATCTGCTCAGATTCTCAAGACTTTTCTGTAAACTGAGGATGAATGAGGGAACAGAAAACTGCAGGAAGAGACCTGAAACACATAAAGAGACTGAAACAGAAGCTCCAAACTCCACTGAGTTCAAGGAAAAATGATGAACTCCAACAGACTGAATCATCTGTCTGAGGCTGGTTTTCTACATCGCCTTCACTTTTCAGGTCATGAGGAAGGAAAGTTGTTGTATTAAATCAAAGAAAAGAAAAAGTTTTCATTTTGTGCAACAAATTATAATKAACGTTTCAGTAACAGGATTTTATTACAACTTCCGAACATTAAAGCAAACGTATCGTCGTGCATTCGACTGATTGGTTCAAACTGATGAACAGTAAGAGAAGATCTGAGCAGTGGRTGTGGTTTAGTCACAGTTCTGTACTCGACTTTCTTTCTATCTTGTTTCCACGCCRTCACAGATGGAAGTGAACAAGCTTTGTGTTTTCTGTAGATCTGCTCCCAGCTGAGCGAACGACTGGAGAAACAACAAACGGCCAACAGAGGAGAGCTGGAGAAAATCCGAGTGAGTTTCCACACCTTAAACTTTGTAACGTGTCGYCACTCACTCTGTACATACATATTCTGGAGTATAAAACGTATTTAATATTTTTTTTATTTTCCAACTAAATACAACTTTTTTTTCTTTTTGTCATCTTTAGTCTTCTAAAGTTGTCTTGGACCTTATTTTTAAGGGTTTTTTCTTAAACGTGGTGTTATATTCCAGTGCTTTCATCTGATTATTTGCAAAGGAATGTTTGTGTTTGTTCAGCTACTTGACATCGATTAATGAATCATTCAAGCATTAAAAGGATTTATAACTAACCAGTGTTAAACAACTTGGCACAGAGCCATTTTCAGAGACGTTACTTCTAAAACTGTGAGACAAAAAAACGTTTGTTTTTTGCACCAAAACAGTTAATTTAGGATGCATTTCTCAGGTTCATTGTTTCATTTTGCTTTCTTCCCATCATGATTTCCAAATACTTTTTAATTTAATTGAATCTTTTGTCTGTTTGTTCAGGGTTTGGTTGGTTTTTTGGGAAACAACACGATGGAGACTCATTGTTGGTGCAAATAATAGTTTTAAATGCCGTCATGTTGTGTAGTCGATCATCAAGATAAAAGCTGGTTCTTTGTCAGGTTGTCGACTGAACATTTGTTTATTACTTGGATTGAGGTGCGTTTTTATAATGTGTCTGATTTGGCGAGAAATGAGAAAAATCAACAGAAGTTCAGAAACTGTTGAGAAAACTCTTTGTCTTTTCCGCTCATCACATAAGAACAAATAGTTTTTATTGGCTGAGAGTTGTTTGACATGTTTGCTCCTGGGATCCATCAGAGCGGCGGTCTCGAACCACTTGTGCTCCTGAAGATCCCTTTCTCTCCCTCCACTCCTGGCCGGGCAGATTTGTGGAGAGGTGCACTGCTATCTCTGTCTTCACTGGCAGTGAAATCAAAGGGTTGTTTTGGGAGCGTGTCCAAGCAGCCGCAGCGCTCACGCACACACACGCCTCACCGGCTCCTGCTTCACACTGGAGCTGGGAGGACGGCCATGTTGGCAGGAAATACGGCCGGCGCTGCCCAAAAATTACCACATTTATTACACCAAGTTTCACTTCTTCTTATTGTTTTCCTTTGCTTTGCTAATATTAGAGCAACAATTTAATAAAGTCTGAAGCTATAAACAATAGAACGCAGTAAATAGAAAAAAATAATTAAGTTTTAATGAGTTTGTTTAATAAGAAACTGATATAAAGTAAACTGGAATTTAATCTCTTTGTTTTCTTCCTTTCTTCAGTCCAAAGTGGAAAGCTGTGAGAGGTGCAGCAGTCTGTTCAACAAAGAGGGTCGCGTTCGGCCCGCGGGGACCACGGTGCCCGACGGGGGTCCGGAGGAGACCGACGAGGAGAAGGAGGCTCTGCAGAACCAGCTGAGGGAGATGGAGCTGGAGCTGGCCCAGACCAAGCTGCAGCTGGTGGAGGCCGAGTGTAAAATCCAGGTACTCCAGCAGCGGCACGCATCGCCATAAATAAACTGCTCGAAATCCTCAAACGCTTGAATTTTAACTTCCTGCGAGATCTGCATCTGGTCCTGAGGGGAGAGCCGCTGGTCTGCACCCAGGATGTTGAAGTAGTGGGAGGGAGTCTGAAATTTAAGCCAACTTACAACTTAGCAGGAGAACTGATTGTGTGAAGGATGGATGGAGTTCGTTTGACTTTAAAATGTGCAACAAAACATTTTCTAAAAAACACTAAAGGTTTAAAGGGATCCTTGATTAGTTGTAACATTAGACTTTATTTGATAAACATTTATTTTAACTGTAAAATAAAGACTGTAAAAATACTGCAGGATATATTTTAACACGGACGGATCCATTTTATTTACACGCAAAGCATTCTGGGTAAATGATGACATGTATAGGTCCTCNACCTGTGTCCTGACCTGTTTTCAGCAGTCTGGCCCAGTTTACAGGAACTTACTTTGAAGGTAACTTTGTGCAGTGGTATTTATTTGCACAAACTCTGTAAAGAGCGTGGAGAGAGACCTGGTTCTCAGTAGAACAGGTGAGCAGCAGGGGAAGCATACTTTAAATCTCCTCCAACCTAAAAAATATGTTTTTTAAATTATCTCCTTCTGAAGGCAGAACCTCTGTAGATAAATCAGAATGAGCTCATTGGAGGAAAAAATTCACAAGAATGCTTCAACGAAACGTGTAAACGTTTATTGATCAATGATCCTGGCTGATATTTTATTTATAGGGTTTTGAACACTAGTTTAAAAACAAATACATGACTATTATTACAAGCACAATATTAGAGTAAGAATCAGGAAACCGTTTAGTGATTTGACCCCATTGACCTCATTATTATGATTTTAAGGGTCTTTTTTATTGTTGGAATGTAATCACTTTAAAACAATCCAAGATAAACATTTTATTATCAAATGACTGAGACAGAATAATTGAAAATAAGATTCTGTGAATACTTATTCAGTTATAAATACTTTATTACAGGGGTTAGGGTGGAAAACCTCCAGATAAAAACACTTTTACRTCACTCTTCCTCCTCAGTTTCATTTGTCATCACGATGCTCCCATCATGTACAGAAATATAGAAGTTGTTCGGCTGCTTGCTAATTTGAAACCAGTTCGATTTTGTGTAATGAGAAAGATGTCTCATCTATTGATAAACACATCACTCGCATGTGAGCGCCGAAGATGTTCCGCGTTGTTAGTTTTCTTTCTAATTAGTAGCTTCTGGAAACCAATCTGCCCGTGGAGGCTGTGARGATGAAGATGACARAAGTCCTGCCTCTTCCTCACTTCCTGTGTATTCTCCTCCTACTGCCTGCTTTTAAAAAAACTAACACAGACACTTGGTTTGTACTAGACTCAGGATTTCAACATCTGGATGCTGTTAAACACGCTCTAATAGCTGCAGCTTTAATTACCTACTTCTGTACATCAATCAGTTCACTATGATTGGTCAAAACTCAGCTTGTTTGCTGAAGAAACATTATAGCTTAAACACTTTGTTTTGCAGCCATTCTGTATCAGAAGTTGACAAAAAATACTGATTGCTGTATATTTAGTGTGTGATTAAGGTTTATATAAAGTAGAAAGAAAAAGGAAGATTTGCAAAAAGTGGGTCTTTAATTAAATTACATTTGTACTTAAAACTTATTAAAGAAGCAGAAATTACTATTTTCATTTCTGTTGCATCTATAGTAGTAAAACAATCCTGTAGCTGAAAAAAAAATCTTTTCGACGTAAACTTTTTGAACTTTCTTTAGCATCAAAGCTTCTCTTGAGGTCGCTCCCAGTTTCTCGGTTGATTCAGTTTTTGTCTTCTGAGATCTCATTATCAGCAGATCTTTCCTGTGAGCCGTTACCTCGGAGCGATCCGAGCACGTTCCCATAAACAAAAATCCATTTTTTCAGTTTGGTGTCCCTGATGCGTCTCAACTCTTGGCTCCAGTTAACTTTTCTTGACATCCCGAGCTGAGAAGCTCCAGCTTCTAATCTTTGCTGAACATTCAAATGAGTTTTCGCTGCTTATTTACTCATTTGTGTCGAGTATATTTATTGACAAATGCTCTTATATCATTCCCAATGGTTCACCGGCCTCCTCTTATTATTCTAACTCATGTGTACAGGCAGCTTTATGGGGCCCTATTTCAAGGTATTGTGTTGTTTATTGGTTTATTCATCAAGGACAGTGTACATTATTGAACATTGGATAAATATAAATGTATCAGTTTCAGCCAAAATGCTGCTTTTCTTTTGTTGTTGGAAAGGTGTTACAACTGACTCTAAAAACAAAATGAAAAAAAAAAAGTTGTGTTTTTTTATTTAATTTCTGAGTTAGTCTCGACCTGACAGATTATCAGGTTGTAATAACGTCTGGAGTTGCAGAAACAAACTCTGCTTGTTCTGTCTGTGCAAAAGATCAACCAGAAGAAGCTGAAGAAATTTGAGAAGGAGTACCACACCATGCGGGAGCAGCAGGAACAACAGGAAGCCCCCATTGAAAGATACGAGGTAATCATTTGAACACGGTGCAAAAATGCAAACAACTGATGGATTCAGTGATGAAGTGCATTTTAGTTGTCATGTAGGTTGTGTACAGAGTACATAACATTGTTTGTTGAAAGAATAGCATTTACAGTGAAAGTTAGAGCCTTTAAGACCTTTAGTTTTCTTCTGTGCAGACTGATTACATCACATATGTGTTTTTCTGCCTTACTATAGAAACAGCTGAGCCCCAGAATAAAAGTTTACACATTCATGATTAACTTGTTTCCTTGTTCTGCTGGCGCCTCACTTTCCTTCCTCTTTTTTTTTATGGCTCTTCACTTCTCGTTGCGTCTTCTTCTGTTGCACTGTTCCTCTCTTTTTATTGCACCATCTTCATGTGTTTTTCTTTCTCTTTCTCCTGCTCGTTTAATGATCTCTAACCTGTCTCCGTCCAGCGGGAGAATCGTCGTCTGCAGGAGGCCAACATGCGTTTGGAGCAGGAGAACGACGACCTGGCACACGAGCTGGTTAGCAGCAAGATAGCGCTGCGCAAAGACCTGGACAACGTGAGCTTAAGAGAAATGTTTTTTTGTTTTGACCTACATTGAAAAGAAACAGTAGAGAGAAAAGTAGGACTAGTCTAACTTTCAGTGACCTTTTCAGTATTTGGGTCTTATGTTGTTCGTGTGTGTGTGTGTGTGTGTGTGTGTGTGTGTGTGTGTGTGTGTGTGTGTGTGTGTGTGTGTGTGTGTGT